TCCCTCAACAGGTGTAAAGTGGTTTCACTAACTTTGTACTTCTGCAAAAACACATTACAACTACTTGGAGACCCTTAAAACCTTCAGTATCACCATTCTTAAAGACTGAGAGTCATGACCCCACCTTGACTCTCTTACCTATATAACTGCAACCACCCACCAAAATGATGCTCAAATGGTCAGTCTGCAGAACTATGATCCTCTGATGCTATAAACACGTGCAAACTTTCAGCATGAGCCCTGAATGACAAGTCCCATGACTGAATATTAAAAAGCCCAAATTTCTTTGACATCACCCACCACTGAACTAGTCGAGCAATTATATTCCAAAAGCCACCAGCGTTCTCTTAAGAGATTTTTTCCATGCATCTGCTTTGGTAGCCAGAGAAGTCCTGGTCTAGCAAGCGCTCTGCAGAGTCTAAGTCATCATACTGCAGATTTTTAAATGTGAACGTTAAATTAAAAGGCAGCGTTTGAACTTGTTCTTTCACCAACCAATCCTGCCAGACCTTTAGTTGTATGCAATAGGCTCTGGGGGCCAAGCGGGGCCCGGGTGCGAGCCGCACAGCCTCGGGCAGGGAGCAGGAGGCGCCGGAGGGGAGCCTGGGCTGCAGGGCAGGGCTGTCCCCCGAGGTTGGTGCTTCGCCAGGTTTGCCTGGCCTCTGTCCAGGACTCGCCCTGGGCGGGAGCCCCGCTGCTCCTGCGGGGACCTTCCCAGCACTACCGCGCCTGTAGATGATCTGTGCCGGCAGGGAACGGCAGCAGGGCTCAGGCAATCCCGAGCAGGAGAAAGGAGTAATCATGTCATTCCTCGGGCTGAACAGCAAGGCTGAATAGCTTAGAAGGATATTTTAAAAGTTACGTGCATATCTACCTATATATATGCACTGTGTACAACACATCTCTTCTAGCGTTGCACTGTTTGTAGTTCGGAGTTCTTTTGAGTGCCATTGTCCAAAAACTTCAGAGGTTTAAATTAACGAATGTTACTTCTGCCAGCAGAGGGAGCTAATTTTATTCCATAAACATAGGGGGAAAGCATTTTTGAACAGGAATATTCCTGGTCTTTTTACAGTTATCAAGTTAGAAAATAATAAAATATAATAATTTTCCAGTGCCATCTGTATAGCATGATCTTGAAGGGGTCTATAACCTATATAGCCTTATCATTTGAATTTCAGATGAGAGTAGGAATATATTTTTAAAGACAAGTGGCATCACATACATTTCTTACATCTTATCACATCTCATATATTTCTTTCCCTTTTTTAAATAATTCACTTCTTCATTTATTGAATTATTTTAGGCAGTAATAAACAACTGTGCTAATCACTTTTGATAGACAGCATATACAAAACAAGAACTCGGAGCAGCTTACTTTATCACATTTAAAGTTGTCATTATGCTTGTAGTTACTATATAGAGTTGTTATTATGCTTGCAGGACGTCCGCTTTTTGGTCCAGGACAATGATGGAAAATAAGTAGTTCTTTATTATTTATGACATCCTTCAATTTTTTAATTATACTTTAATTACACACAGGTCAGCAGAATGCCTTGAGTAAGGATCAAATATGCCTTCTTTCATACCATCTGACTGAAAAAAAACCTTCTCCAAGTGCCAATTTACAATATAACTGAGTAAATGAAAATAGTTTTCATGCAGAAGCAAGTAGTAATATTGAATAAAAGACTGCATCACCTTCTTAAATGTATATATATATATATATATATATGTATGTATCTGTGTATATACATATATATATATATATATATATATACATATGAAACCCCCTAAAATTCCTTAAATTTCAATAGAAAAGTTAAGGAAAATTTTAGTTGTTATTTTGAGGACTTCTTAGTTTTAAATATTCTTTCATAAGTCTGGATTTTAAGGAAAGGATCTTAAAAATATGTCAGAAAAAGTAAAAATTTAACACTAAAATGAGTTGTGTTGTGTCAAAAAATAACAAAATTCCTATGTCACTTGCAGTTTATAATAGTAAACTCTAAGCCCAGTAGTGGTGTAGGGATTGCTACAGACAGCAGACCTTGTGCATTATTGTCAATAAGCTTGCTAACATATAGGATTGAATATAGCACTGGCTTTTCCTCAAACATTATGTCCACCAATACCACAAGAGGGGCAAATTTTAGTTAAAACACATTAAGGGATCTGATTAGTTCTTTGTAATCTCCAAGTACAGCCAAACCTCAGTCTGCTGAGGCTGCATTCCTAAGAACTGCAGCTGTAGGCAGTTTAATCAAAAATAAAGCAATTTTTCTCTAATAATTTATATAGCAGAGAGGAAATGTAGCTTAGGAAGTACATGTAACTTATATGTTCAGGAAAAGTATTTACAATGGGAAGGATAGGGAGCCTGGAGCTCCCCATGGGAACCACTTTCTAGAAGCTAACTTGTCTGAATAGATTTCCCTTCTGAAAGATCTCAGGTGCTTCACGTATGAGGCCAACCACTCAGTACAATATTAAGTGTATAAGCATTTTTTGAAATAGTTGCATTTTCCTTGCTCTCATCATCTTCCTCAGATGAATCAATGTCATTCAAGTAAGTCAAGGTTAAAGAACACAACAAAAGGAAAATAATGGTTAGCAGAGCATAGTACTAAATGACTGATGACAGAGCTCCAAACTGAAGAGCTGGAAAGTAACAGAATAAGGGGTATTAGTGTATTAGTTATCTGGAGTCACTGAATAGATATTTATGCATCATAAACCCATTTAAAAGTGAAATTAAAGTTTAGTCTAAAGGGAATGGCATAAATTTAGCATCTTAAAAAAAATTCATCTGTATCAAGATAAAATGCTCTGTGGAATGGAATATTATCCATTTAGATTTTAAGAAATAATGACACTAATCAACTAATGAAGTGAATTCTTATATATTCCTCATACAAGCTCCAGGCTTTATTTCTTATGCCTTCACAGATATTTATTCCAATCTTTTTCATCCTCATCCTCTTTTTTTTTCCATTTTTTATTCCCAATGGAAACTATCCCACCTCCTGTTTTGTTTTCATTTTCTGCATTGAATGCTTAGCTTTGACTCTGAACTTGTCTCAGCTGCAGGCAGCTTAATTATTTCTTCAAATCTTTTTCTTACCCTAGACCAAAAATGTCCTCTGGCTGCCATTTTTCACTATATATGGTGAAAATATAAAGGATAAATAAAACCAGTACAAGCAAATTTGCACGTTTTTTTAGATTTATGAACTTACACAAGAAAACAAACAATGGAGATTTTATATAGCACCTAGGATAATGTGGTCCCATTCTTCTGACAACATAAAAGTATTACTGTGCTTTCAGCTGGAACTGTTTGATCACTATTATGTACTTGCTTAAGATCTCCAAATAAAAAATGAAGGTCAAATCCTGAGTGTTAGAACTTGTGTGGGATACTGCCAGATGTCTCAAAAAAAACACCCAAAACCAGTAGATGAACAATATCTACAGAGCCAAGGCCTTCTGTGCTTTTGGTACTGCCACCCTGGAGAGCAGACTGGGGGTGTGTGGGAGACTGGGAGGAGACACAGCCAGGACAGGTGACCCCAGCTGACCAAAGGGGTGTTCCAGACCGTATGGCATCCTGCTCGGTATGTAAAGGGGGGACATCTGGAGTGATGGCTTTGTCCTCCCAAGTCACTGTTATGTGTGATGGGGCCCTGCTCTCCTGGGGGTGGCTGAACACCTGCCTGCCCATGGGAAGCAGTGAATTCATTCCTTGTTCCACTTTTTTAGTGTGTGTGGCTTTTGCCTTCCCTATTAAACTGTCTTTATCTCAACTCATGACTTTTCTGGTTTTTACCCCCCTGATTCCCTCCCCAGTCCTGCTGGTGGAGGAGTGAGCAAGTGGCTGCGTGGGGCTTGGTTGCTGTCTGGGGTGAAACCACTGCAATTTCCAACAGAAAGCTCTAAGAGATGTTTATCACACATTAGCCCTATCTGGCATGCAGATGCAGAATAGAAAAGCTGCAGCAGGACAGCACTGGAAACACATCCAATAAATAGATTTTATACATTTTATTATGAAAAGCAATATGCTGGAACCCTGTGTACAATGGAAGGGTGAGTCATATTTTACTTGTGCACAGCATGCGGAACAGACGGCATGCCTAAATTTTAAAAAGCTCACAATTTTTTGGTTGTTTTGGGGGAGGGGTTTTGCAATGTGTTGGTTCACACTGTGTGAAATGCACCATCACATTATCAGGCACCCTCAGTGCTGTTTTTCAACTGGTGGGTGATCTTGACATCAGGTAAGGAACCAAAGGGCACATGACAAGAAAGGAACAACCCGAGATGCCAGAAAACTGACCCTTGGAAATCGGTTTAAGGGTTCGCTGTTTGAAGCTACTTAGCATTATTTGTGAGGAGGACATAAATAATTTATCCGAAATAAACAGACCTGGAGTTAAAGTCTACATATTAACGCCCAGAGCATTTATCAAGGGATTCATGGGGACCACCTTTGGACCTCAGCATGCCGATGTGCCCGAGGAAGCGCGAGGGCGGCCTGGAAGGAGCAGGAACGCCAGGCAGCAGCCGGAACAGCGGGATTCCGGAGCGTCTCCCGGGGGATTTGCAGAAATGACGAGGAAATAACAGCACTGCTTGGCAGCAGGCCGCTGATCCCGGACACACTGGGCTGAGCGCAGGCATGGCCGCCCGCGGAGAGAACGCTCGACCCCGCAGGCGCCAGCAGGGGCGGCAGCACCGCGGGGCGGGGCGGGGCGGGGCGGGGCGGGGCAGGTCCGTGACGCCGGGGGGAGCCCCGCAGCAGCCCCGGTCCCGGGTCGCTCCCGGGTCGCTCCCGGGTCGTTCCCGGGTCGCTCCCGGGTCGCTGCGGGCCGGGGTGGCGGGGCCCGCCGGCACCGCGGGCCGCTTTGCCCCGCCCGGCGCGGCGGCAGCGCGCGTGCGCAGACAGGACGCGGCCGGGCCCGGCCCCGCGGCGGCGCGGACGGACGGACGGACGGACGGACGGACGGACGGACGGACGGACGGACGGACGGACGGACGGCGTGAGTCCGCCCCGCCCCGCCCCGCCCCGGCCCGGCCCCCTCGCCTTCCCCGGGGAACGCATGGAGGGGTGCCAGACTAGGTAGGTAGGTGGGTCGGTAGGTGGGTGGGTGTCCTTCCGCAGCGGGGAGGGGAGCGCCCCGGCCGGTGTCCCGCTGCTGCTGGGGCTCGGCCGTCGCGTTTGGGCCTCCGGCCCAGGGGTGCCTCGGGGCAGGTGCGGAGCCCCCTCCCTCGATCCCTTTCTGCAGGGCCCAGGCTCTGTCACACAGCGGGCAGTGGCGCCTCCCGCGCTGACGCCTTCCGATAGCCCTGCCATTCTCCATCGCCCCTGGGGACTCAGCTTGCCTGGCTTTAGCCACGGATTTTTTGGAAAAGGGCATCATAATGATGCGAGGCTCTTCTCGGTGGTGCCAAGCAATAGGGCAAGAGGCCTCGGGCAGAACCTGATGCCCAGGAAGTTTCACCTGAACACGAGAATGAGCTTCTTTACTGTGCAGTGACAGCACTGGAACAGATTGTCCAGAGAGTGTGGAGTCTCCCTCAGTGGAGAGACTCAGGAATTGTCTGGATGAGATCCTGTGCAATGTGTGCTAGGATAACCACATCACCCTAACACCGAGGTTGGGGTTTGATCTCCGTTATGGGCCATTCACTTAAGTGTTGCACTCATTGTCCTTGTGGTTCCCTCTCTGTGATTCTGTGATCCGCTGTGGTTCTTTCCAACGTCACCCATGCTGTGATTCTGTGATGCCCATGATGAGCCACTATCAAAAGTGGCTCCTTTTGCAGACCTCTTCTTTTTATTCATGAATGTTATTCGTGCATAGTAATAATTCATATAAAAAACATTTACATAAACCCAGGCAAACATTTTTTTCACATTCTGGCTGGCACTTTTGTGGGTACCACACTGCAAGACCCTATTAATGCAGATAACTATGTTATCTAAAATACTTAAGGATTATGCTTCAGGAACCAAACTGTTTCTTGGCACTCCAGAATCAATGAAACATGAAAATCCTTCACCAGCAGATAAACTGTAGTAGATTATTATATTTTAACAGTCATGCTTATTTTGCCTTTCCTTTTAGAATGCTTTTAACAGAAAGAAAATTATTCCTATGTTGTGGGTTTTTTTATTTCATGAGTAGCACTGGCATTGCACGTGGAAGTGCCTCATACTTTGTAAGCAAACAGTTGTGCAGTAAGTCATTTCAAAGGGTCCTAGTATAATTATTTTCACAGGTGCTTGGTGGTTTTTTGGAGCAATTAAAGCTTAAAGTTTAAGCATTCTTTCTGTGCACTGTTACAGTGAGCACTACCCACACTCATCTGTCACCTTTTGTTCCTCTCTGTACTGCCACAGCTGTTTTTGTCTGGTACACTGAACTTGATTGGGGATTGATCTGAAAAAGTCCTCTAAATAGAAGGGTGTTTTTCCACATCCATGAGCTCTCTGGTGAAGTTCATGTTAAAATGTCTGCAGTGAGCAGTTAGGAGGATGCCGAGCAGGGACTTGGAAGGGGGAAGAAACAGCTGGCTGGTCTCTGTAGTGACATAATCTGCCCTCCCTGTCAAATGTGAAACTCCACCTTAGTTCCAGAGGCTGTGTATGTCACACACGTACCCCCCCTTTGCTTTTACTCATTTCCCTGAAACTGTGTATTCCTAACTAAGGACTATGTATTACTTGACCTGGAAGAATATATATATGTGTGTGTGTGTGTGTGTGTGTGTGAATTTATATTATGGGAAACATGACATTTGGATAGAAACAATGATATTTTACCTAAAATATTTCTATATGGTAGAAGTATAGATTTTTTTTTGTCAAGGTAGGAAATGCATTTCTAGGTATAATTGAGGTGCTGGTCGCAGCAACTGTGCACTGCTGCACCACTCACTTCCCTGTTTATTCACTGGCCTTGTGTAACCTGAGCAGCTGCAGTAACTGCTGGTGTGCTTGCACACTGTGGTATAACAGCAGTCAGTTGTGGCTTGAGAGAGGGAATGTTGAAGTGGCTGTTCATTTTTGTTGCTTCTTTTTTCTCCTTAGGTAATTCTAGAAGCTATGGATATACTCTTCAGAATAAGAGGAGGCTTGGATCTTGCATTTCAGCTTGCAACTACTGATGGTGTGTTTATAAGACTAATAGATTTCTTAATACTTATACTAACTTTTATTAGGAAACTATTTATTATATTTATTTTCTTGGCATTTTACCAGGTGTTAAGTGCTTCTTCACAAACCTGTAAAGATTTTTCTTTATCTCCATAAATTTTCTGACGCTCTTTTTCTATCCTATGTTTTTGGTTTAATTTTAAATAAACTTTACATATACATTTTTAACTAATTTCATTTGCTTATACTTCTTACTTGTGGATATGTTATTGAGATCACTTTTCAGCTTGAAGCTGAAGTTGATTCTGAAATTCTAAGGAAACAAAGGATAACTTTAAGGCAATGAATTTTGTTATTTTTGTTAATTGGACTGTATTAATAATACAGTTTTGAGACTTTGCTCCAATCTTTCCAGAGAAATAGAGTAGGGGAACAAGCACTCAAGTGAATTTAGGCAGGATTGGCTACTGCAATTCCCTGTGATAGCAAGGGACCAGTCCATAAAGCACTAAGGGGCTCCTGTAGTCCCCATTGTTGCAGTAAAGTGACATTCTCCTCAGAAGGCCTGCTCAGGGCTCTCAGGGGCAATTGAGCTGGGCAGGATAGGGGAAAGAGGCTGATTTTAGCTTAGCTCTCAGTCATTCTGCATCTTAAAGGATGTGTCTCTAGCAGAAACACTGAATTCCATATAGTGAACCTTGATAAGGAATTTGGGCTTATTTGAGTTCATGATGTGGAGCAGTAGTGTTGAATAGATGGATCTAATCCAAAACAGCATTTTGTGAGTTGCATCTTCAGAGAAGGATTATTTATTTGACTTTGTCTATAGTGTAGTGAATTGCAACCGCTGTGAAGCAGAGTGGTGGTTGAATTGTACAAATGCATGGTATTCACACCTGTGGGTAAATATGGCACATTGCTACTTTTGAAGGGCAGTAAGATTTTTCTTTTGGAGCAGTTTTCCTTTGACTTCTCTAATAATGTAATTTTTACAGATTTCTGGTACAAAAATTATCTAATAGTGACCAAATTTAAGTTAATACATTAGAGAGATACAGCATAGTCTTTGATAGCTTGTTAATACTGTGTTCAAAGTAATGGTTTTTAACCCTCACATTAAGGAAAAAAATGTGGCTAATGTGCCAGTTACTCTATCATATCCAACAGTTTCATATCTGTTATTGGTACAGGTTGTAAGGTTTGGGTAAAACACCTTACAAGCTCTGAAAGACAACTGTACATACCAGCAATAGAGTGTCGGGCAAATCAGACTGTTGCATACAGGTTTATGTTGGTCAAATTTTGGTCCTCAGCTGTTATGTAGGCCCTGCTTTTCCAAAGATTTAGTCTGGTTTTGGTTTGTATTTCTGAACAATGATATGAGGTCAGAAACATGTGAGTGACTCAGATTGAGTATTTTCAGGCTTTTTTCAAAAGCCTAAATATACATAAAAGTTTGTATATTCAAGTTTGTTTGCAGCCATAGGTTTGGTTAAGACTTACTAGATATGGTGACAGCATAGTAGAATATTCTTCTGTAAGTTTGACAGCATCTGAGAGAAACAGTACACCTTTGTTCAGGGAGCTGAGGGTGAATGCTTGAGACAGACCTGCTAAGTGAAATCTTACCTCAGTTTTGTTTACCCAGTCATTTTTCTGGTCATAACAGGACTCACATTTTTATTCCAAGTCAAAAAAATTTTATTAAATTCGTGCCCAGTGGCTACAAAAAATGGTGAGGGAATTTTCTGGGCTAATTATATCCTTACTGTGTTTCAGAGGCATCAACAAAAAAGGCATTAGGATATGTTTTCAGTGATCTTGAAAACAAACTGTCCTCAGAGGTTCTTGTATTCAGAATTTGCCACAGTTCAGTCTATGTGTGGCCTAACAATGGTATGACCACAGTTCCAGAGCTGACTGATGAGTCTGCATGTAAGGAGATAAGACGATTTATACAGTAAGTATATTTAAAAATTGGGGGGGGGGGGGGTAGTTAACAGATTAATTTCATCTTACAGAAATTTCTCTTTCTGTTGATAATTCAGATTTGATCAAGATGATGAAACCAAACGAAAGCTTGGCAAAAAGAAGGATAAAAAGTTACAGGATATGGTATGTTGCTTACTATAAGAAAAATTATCATTTAAACATTTTTAAATTTGCCCTCCCTAGGGTTTTCTGCACACACTTAGGCATTGACATGACTTTAAAGAATGCTTTTAAAGTCATTGAGACTCAACATGAATGAAGTAATCCATCTGTGGTAGATCAGCACATAGAAGTTTGTCTTTAACATTATCAGCTTTTTTCTAACCCAAGTATTTCATTACTGAGTTTGATCCTAAATACCTGTAATCTTACTTTTGCCTTCTTGGTTCATGTGTAGTTGGAGATGTAATATTGGTGTCTTTATTCTCTGTAGCAGCAGATAATCAATGTAGACCTCATGTTGGAAATGACATCTTCATTAGCTGCTATAGCTCCAGTAATTGAAAGGGAAAAGAAAGAACACCACTACATAAATATGACATTACCAGTTGATGTTGTTGTATCTGTTTCTCCAGAAGAACCATGGGGAAAGTAAGTGTTACCCCGAACTTGCAATTTTTCAGCTTCATTTCTACTTTTTCTTGAAATAATGAAGTAAAACTATATCATTCACCAGTTTAATGTAAAGTATATTTTTGTGATGTAATTTTAACTGTGTAAATAATAAAAGCTCATGTAGACAGCTGTTAACTTCAGTAATCTTGAGACATGATCCTTTGGCTGTCTATAAAAAATTCAGTTTGTCAATGTCTGACAGATTAGATAACTCATAACCATTGCTTAGCAAAGAATTGAGAAAGTCAGGAAAATGTTCTAGAAATTTTTGTCTGTGAGGTGTATAACAGTGAGAGCTGGGGTGTATTTGATGAATCTTTGTAATCTCAGCCCTATATTTGGGGTTGCAGCTGGGTAGGTACAGATGGAAAACATTTGAGTCTGTCTATGTATTTTTTCTTTGCATTTTTTCCATAGGATTTGACTCTGAACGACACTAAATGGAGTGGATAAAATGCAAAAAAAGAAAACATTTAGTCATATATTTAATTTTTATTTTGGCAAATGCTCATACTGATTGTGTTTCTGATGTGAAAGCAAGGTAGCCACATTTGGGAGGACGGGAGGACTGAATCACTGGGGACTCGTTTCTGTGTGCAAACAAGCTTTGAGTAAGGCACGGTTGGGCTCTGCCTTTTCCTGTGGGAGCAGAAGCATTGAAGTAGTGCAGTCATCTGACCAGGTCAGACATGCATTTGGGTATTGTATAACTCCCAGCTGTGAGAAAAAATGATTCACAGTCATTTCTCTACTTTTGAAATATTTTCCCTTGTATTTTGCAGGGTACAAAATCTCCTAGTGAAAGCAATTCATGGGCAATTAACTGACATGGAAAGATGTATCATGAAATATGTGAAAGGAACATCAATTGTGGTACCAGAACAATTTCATTTCATGTTACCAGGAAAAAATCACCTTGTAACTGTCTCATATCCTACCGGTATTTCAGATGATCAGCTGGAAAGTTACAGAAAGGTAAAGCTGACAAACAGTAACAGGACTGGATCTTTTATTTTTAATTATTGTAATTGAAGCAGTGTTAAGGCTTTCTATTTAGTCGACATAGAATAAATACTAACAGATACTGCTGTATTTTGGATTCATTTTTATTATAACCAAAGCAGTATAATGAATGTAGTAATTTGATTTATTAGAAGTTATTTTTTAGAATGTGCCAGATCTCATTTTTGCAAGGAAACTTTAAAACTACATAAAATTTGGTTGATAAATATTTTCTCAAAATTATACTTCCAGTATGGTATTCTTTGAATTTCTCCTTTTTTTTTGTTCTTTTATGGTAGAACATCAGTTTACTTTTGGCATGTTACTACATTCAGATTTTAACACATGTCCTGAAAGGGTTGGTATTGAGGGTTTGGTTTGGTGTCTTTCTTGCGGTTCTGTGGTGATGTGGGTTTTTTTCTGTTTGGAGGAGGCTGCTTTTTGTAACTCATAGTTCATTCACTAGGCTTAGCTAGTTTTTGGCTTATTTTTGCCTTTGGGTTGGTACATCTAGAAAAAAGAACATGGATGCGGTGGAAGAATGTTGAAATGTGGCAGTCCTTTCAAATTGAGACTGGTATCAGTCTAGTTCACACAATTTCATGTACTGAGAGCAGAGAAAGAATATTATGCTGCTTGGAGGTGTAGAAGCTGTGGAGACTTTTTCTGTGTGACACATTACTGGGTATATAAAACCCAGTCTAGCCTTGTGTTTGCAGAGGCCTCAGACACTGGTGGCACTGCCTGTGTTTCCTGCACTCTGTCTGCTGTTCACTCTAACCCACTGATGGGGAGTGTTACTGCAGCTCCTGTAGCTGGGTTCAGTGCTGGATCATCTGCCTAAAATGTATTACCTGTGTTATACACATTATCCTACATTATCTCATCATGCCTTTCACTCTTAAGCTCTGTGAAATAAGACAGTTTATCTCTTTAAATGTGGCTGCTGTGTGGCAAACAGAGCTTAAGAGATTTTAAATAGATTGAATTGGCTTGAACCATAAGCCAAATATCTTTACTTTGTCTCAGGACATGTTATTTGTATGCTCCAATATCAGTTAAGATTATAATTTGGTGTGTGTATCTACATTACTGTGTAGATAAAACTGTAATCCTTTTCTGTTATGGTGTATTTTATCATGCTTTCATAACAAACCTGTTACTAGTGGTATTTTCAGAGGGGCCCCAGCAGCAGGTGTTATGTAACAGGACTGCATAAAGTAGTGGGCCCTTTGGATGGGAGGTAAGCCTGCATGAGCTTCCCTGGAGAGATGAGGTCTAGTAGAAAACATACCTGCGGAGTGTTTAATTAAACCTATTTTAATAATTTGCTAAACTAGGCTATTAAAATTATATCTTTATTGCTGCTTACAATGTGGTCTCTCTTTTAATCCAAAATTTGAATTGTGTTTTTTATTTTTATTTGAACTTGCATGTAGGAATTGCATGGGTTATACAATCTGCCTTGTGACAGACCATATTTCAAGAGAGCAAATGCTTATCATTTTCCAGATGAACCATATAAAGATGGATATCTCAGAAATCCACATTTACATCTTAGTTCACCTGGCATGGAGTCTGGTATGGTAAGTTTAAATTGAAACATTTTGCAGAAAGTACCTTTTTATTTTAATTGAGATTTTTTTTAATGGAAAGAATTAATTTAGATAGTGAAATAATTAGCTTGACCTTTTAAGCAAAAGGGCTCCTCTGCACAAAATGGCGTTACTTTAATTTGTTGTATTTGTCCCAAACAAATTGGATTTTCTTGGGGAAAAAAGTCCATGTTTTTAGTATGTATTCTAAAAAGCTTCCCAGAACCAGGACAAGAAACTATGAACAGAGTTTAAGAGACAAAATGAGGTGGAGTTAATCATATGTGAATAATGACCCTTTGAATCTTCCAAAGATTTGCAGTCCCCAACTGAAACTTTACCACGCAAGTGCCAGGTGATAAGACTTCTCTGAAAACTGATGCACGTGTGATGAGCTGCCTCTGTGTTCTCCCTCCTGTGCAGGTTTATTTAGTACAAGGTGTATACAGTTACCACCACTACATGCAGGACCGCATTGATGACAGCGGCTGGGGCTGTGCTTATCGGTCTTTGCAGACAATCTGCTCTTGGTTCAAGCACCAAGGCTACATGGATAGACCTATACCAACACACAAGGAAATTCAACAGGTACAGAACGTTTAAGGAGTTTATTTTATGCATATTTGTCTAGAAAAGTTAGTGTAGGTTATTTTTTAAATATCAAATTCATACATTTTAGAAAATATTTTTTGTCCCTTAAATTGGATTAGTGTTTCTGAATAGTTTGTGTTGGGTGACATCTGTACAAATAAGATGCATTAAAATAATATTTTAAATGTTTCCTTGGATTAATGTTCTATTATGAGCTGTGATATGACACCTCCAGTGTTTTTATCAAATGAAAAGAACAAAGAACCCAATGTGTCATGCTAAAATCAGTTTTAAAACTGTCTGTCATATTCAGTGACAGCTGGATTAGTTCCCAGATGCTACACAGGAATTTGCTGACAACTTTTGCAGCTTTCCCTTTGACAGTGGTGCACTTTTCCTGATTTTTGAACTCTCCTTCACTTCTTTCTCTATTTTGAATTTAAATACATAACTGAATTTGTTCATTTTTGTTAACAGCATAGAATTAAAACTGTAGACTTGTAGTTAATACGCAGACTTGGAATACTGCAGTTGCCTTCTGTCTTCTAAATATAATTCTTCATGTTACAGTTATTTACTGAACATTTCTAGTAAAGTTTAATTCATTCCATGAAAAAACATTTATTATATGTAGCAGGGATGTGCACTAAAGGTAAAACCACATTCCCTGAACATTTCTCAATCCACACCTGAATGCTATTGAAATCTGTGCACTCCTGTAGCATATTTAAGCATCTAAAAGCATCAGAAGACCTTTGGGCTTTGTGTCCTGAGCAGAAAAGGTCCCTTTTCAGTGCTGAATGTAACATACAAGCCTCAAAATGAGGAAGAGTTTAAAATAAACCATAACTTTTGACATGGATCAGTAGCCTCCTCCTCAGAGCACTATTTTATGGATCCTTTCCTGAGTACTTTGAATAGAAATCCAAGCTTTTCAGTCTGTGAAGTGGCTTCTGCAGTGTACAAATTATGCACTCTGTTATTAAAGAGCTCAGTGGTCTCCCTCCCAGCCTGTGGATCTGGGATTGTAGTCTCTGCTCACGGACACAGTTCTGCATTACTGCTCAAAGAGACATTTCCAAAACAGAGCTGCAGCGAATGAATTCAACATTCTTTGATCTGCTTTTAAATGGCTAAGTTCAAAACACATGCCCATATATATAAAGTAACTTTGTTCACACAAAGTGGTGGAATTCCCTACTACATGTTGTTGATGTTTGGGTTTCTTCCTCATGATTTTGGGAAGGCACTGGTTGATGCTGGAGACAAACCTGCAGCATTTGTTGGGTCACGGCAATGGATTGGTTCGATTGAGGTACAGCTTGTTTTGAATCAGCTTTTTGGAATAACATCCAAAATATTATTTGTCAGGTAAGAATCACTACCTGTTTAGTAGCTTGGTAATTGCTAAAAAGACTGAATGCCTTAAAATACAAATCATGATCACAGTACATGGGAGAAGAGATATAATTAAAGAAGAGGTATAATTAATCCTCTGTTCCTATCTTTAGTTATGCTAAGTGCTTACAGGTGAAGGTGGTTTTAAATTTCTTGGGAGCTTGGGGTTCCAGTTTCCAGTTGCTATAAATTGCTTAATAATATGCAAATTGCCCGGTTTTATAAAGATATAGTCAAATGCTTCCACAAGAATTGTGGCTCCCATTGGGTTTGCTTAATCTATAAATTGCTTCATAATATGCAAACTACTAAGGAATTCAGCCTATTCCTTTGCACCACAATTTTTGATGCAGGCACAAAGTCTGATGTCCGGAGAGAACTGAATGTACACTGACAAATAGATTATTACTGCAGCCACAGACCTAACTTGTGAGTTTAGGATTGAGACAAATTGGTGAAATGTCTGGAAAATAATGTTCCCCTTTTTGCATTTGTGTGACAAAGAAAGCAAGGAATTTGTTTCCATTCTGACAATTTGATGCTTTCATACACAATGAAGGACCCTACGAATATATTTGGGACAAAGAGAATAGTCTTTAGCATTTATCAGAAGAAAAACTACCATATTTTTTATCATTTAGGAGGCACTAAGCAGACTAATAAAACCCTGAACATTTAATAAATACAATTGTTAAATTAAGAACATACACTAACAGTATGTATGAAAATACAAACCAAAATACTTTTCATGTGTTACATTTATTTAGAGTAAATTCACACTGTAGATATTCTAAAAGAGCATAATGATGGGGATCCTTAATGGTAGGAAAATAGTTCAGGTGTTCAATATTTTAATCTTTTTTTTGTTCCAGAGCTTGTACTTGCAGATGATCCACCTATTATTTATAGCAGCTATGACAGGCCCTGCCAGTAGGAAGACTTTTATTTCTGCATATGAGAATATAGAATATACTCCTTTCTGAACTGGGTAGAATTGCTCATAGTGCTGCTACAAAGGAGCACCAGTTTTTCTCAGTGTTACAAAAAACCATCACTACCATGCCAGCAAGAAGAAACAATCATGCAGCTTTTTCAGCTGGTCACTGGCAGTGGATAGCATTTTTGTCTTGGGCTTATTTCCAGCTAGCATCTCTAATTCTTTATGGAAATAAGACTTGCACCAGCAACACCACTACTGGATCCATTATAATAAATGCACTATTTCCCAGTTTTGTAATCTCTCATTCTTTCTACTTGGGAAGTAGGCACATAGACTTTCACGGGGTTTTACAAAGATTAGCCACTATATAAAGAAATATAAAGACAAGATACTAAAAATTTCTGTATTAATTTCCTTGCCTAGCAAATAGGCCTTGTGTTAGAAAATGTTTTTCAGATTTTCTTAGGAAGTTTACAAAGGAATAATCCAAGTGACTTTCTAATCGGTTATCTATGCAGTGAACGAGTATCATGGATAATTAGAGAAGTAAGCCTAGTGAGAATGACAAATCTCTTATTGTTTTTCTTACCTAGCCAGGGTTCTGAACTAGCATTGCAGGGAAGAGAGCTTGCTAATCATTTCAAGACTGAGGGAACTCCAATTATGATTGGTAAGTGCTTGAATATTGAAGAATGCTAATGAAAGTGTATGGCCTCCCTGTGCTGAATTTCATTTCAATTAGAACCCATTCAATTTACTGTACAAGAGTTAATCAAAACTGTAGATTAATTAAAAATTACGGTTTTCCCAAGGTAGCCTCGAAAATGATACAGTTTAGTCTGGTTGGTATCTTTTTATTTAGTATTTCTTTCAAGCTCAGTATTAAACATAGTAACAAAAGTCAGTCTAAAGGGTGTTTTTATAAATTCCTATTAAGTCAGAACTTGAGCAGACTTCCATTCTCTGCAGGAGCAGATGTTCATGGAGTTCCCAAAACTTCCCCTCAGAGAAGAATACTGTTTATCTGGCTTGGAAAAGAAGGGTATTATCCAAATTTGCTTTAAGACCAATTTTAATAATCTGAAATATTGGTATGATAAGAAGTGCCGTTTGTACAAATACTGTGACATTAATTGAACTATTTTTTCCATGCTGTGTTTTGGGAAATTAGTAATATTTATATTATTATTTTCAACTTTAAAAACATTAATTAAAGCAATTTTTCAGCCTGTATTTGTCATTCCATAATGCAGTGTAACTTTCTCAAAACAGAAGTGCCAGAAGTCCAGACTTTGTTACAGTGACGGTTTAGATTAGATATTAGGAAGAAATGTTTCCCTGTGAAACACCAGAACAGCTGCCCATGGAAGCTGTGGATGCCCCAAGACCAGCCAGATGGCCCAAGGCTCAAGACCAGGCTCAATGGAGCCTTGAGCATCTGGTCTAGTGGTACATGACCTGCCCATGGCAGGGGGGTTGGAACTAGATGATACTTAAAGTCCCTTACAATCCAAACCATGCTATGATTCTATTAAATATTCTTGGCCTTTTGGCAGCCTTTTTGTCTGAATTTCAAGAATGTAGAATCCTATCTTGAAAAATCTTTTAGTCTGTAACTTACCCTTCCCTGTAATGCTCTCTTGTAGGTTGGTTTAATTTTTGTTGTCATTGGAGGGCTGGAGATGGGCTTTTTGAGGGTGGGATTTGGGGATTGTTTTTGCTTGTATTCTTCAGGGATTTTGCAATCCCTATGTGCTGTGTGGAATTATTGCTACAATATTGCTGGGAAGTAAAGTATTGCATGTTACCTGAAAGAAACATGCAAGAGTTGACCTGGGACCATCTCATCAAAATATCCCCTTTTCCTGTTTGCAGGCTGGGGAAAAGGAAATCAGCATTTACTATTCTGCCCCTAATATTCATTGATGTAACATAGCAGAAAACAGCAGATAAACCTCATCCAGGATTTCTGATTTCTCTTTAAATTTTAGTCCTTTTACAACCATGAAATTTTGCAGATTTCTTTCCTACATTTAGGTTTCTTTAAAGAAAAAGTGCAAAAGGGGTGTTTGAAATATTCTTGACTTCATGTGGTGGAAGTGCTGAGGATTTAACCTGCCTTGCTGACTAGGAAGAAATTTGAAAATATATTCTCTACTTACTTTAGTTACTACAACTAAACTTTCTTAGAGGTGGTAAAGATACATTGTTTAATCATGTGAAGAATGTTATGTTAAGACACTTTCAGAATCATCTTGATACAAGCTAATCCATTAATAGAAGGTTTTGATGTACTTTTTTTAACACTTGCACATTAAATCAATCCCAATGAAGAAAATATCAGCAATCTCTGTTTCTCTTATTTTAGGTGGAGGTGTTTTGGCTCACACGATATTAGGAGTGGCTTGGAATGAGACTACAGGGCACATTAAATATTTGATTCTAGACCCACATTACACTGGAGGAGAAGATCTGCATGTCATTTTGGAAAAGGTGAGGCTTAATGCATATATGCACTCACATATTTACGTATATACACATATTTTGGCATTAACCAAATAATGTCCAGCAAAATACAATGTGGCCATTCTATGGCTTCTTGATTCCTTATGGAAGAAGCACTGACCTCAGTTAACCTGCATACTACAATATGCTAAGTATTGTCAGTTTCTGAAACTTAGTGCCTTCAGAGATGTATCAGATCAGAAGCTACATCAAGTTATTATACTACAGAGCAATGGTCTTTATTTTATATTAATTCAACTATCTTCCCTTTTACCAAGGAGTATATATGATAAATGTGTTTTGTATTTTGAATAAAACAGAAAATTCTGTTCAGGCTGTAAGATGCTCTAAGTGAAACAGAGAAGATAATTTATTTTAAATTTTAAAAGTTCTTTATAAAATCCAGCGCTAACCATTCTCAGATCAGGCCTTTAACAATGATCAGAGGGTAGGTACTGAATTGTTTTGAGTATGTGGAAGAACTACAAAGTGCTCAGGGGTATGTATTGTCATTTCCACATTTAAAGCCACTGAATGGGATGATACAGCACATTAAAAAACCAGCAAATAAAGTGTCAGATATGTAAACTCTTAAAGCAGCTGAATTATCCTGTAAGTGCTAGGCAACCAATGTCTTCTCTGTTTTTATATTAAGTTGCAAATAGTAACTTTTATTTCTAATCTTTGATACCCTTGTAAAAAAAAAAAAAAAAAAAACAACCAAACAAAAAACCAAAAAAAAAAAAAAAAAAAAAAAAAAAAAAACTGACAAAAAACCCCCCAACAAACAGAAAAAAAAAAAAAAAAAAAAAAAAAA